CAAGGTCCCCCTGCTCAAGCCAGCGCATGTCCAGGCCCGTCTGAAGTTTGCCAATGACCATCTGGATGATCTAGAGGAGGAATAGGAGAAGGTCATGTGGTCTGATGAGAAAAAAATAGAGCTTTTTGGTCTAAACTCCACTCGCCGTGTCTGGAGGAAGAAGAATAATGAGTACAACCCCAAGAACACCATCCCAACCGTGAAGCATGGAGGTGGAAACATCATTCTTTGGGGATGCTTTTCTGCAAAGGGGACAGGACAACTGCACCGTATTGAGGGGAGGATGGATGTGGCCATGTATTGTGAGATCTTGGCCAACAACCTCCTTACCTCAGTAAGAGCATTGAAGATGGGTCGTGGCTGGGTCTTCCAGCATGACAATGACCCGAAACACACAGCCAGGGCAACTAAGGAGTGGCTCCGTAAGAAGCATCTCAAGGTCTTGGAGTGGCCTAGCCAGTCTCCAGACCTGAACCCAATAGAAAATCTTTGGAGGGAGCTGAAAGTCCGTATAGCCCAGCGACAGCCCCGAAACCTGAAGGATCTGGAGAAGGTCTGTATGGAGGAGTGGGCCAAAATCCCTGCTGCAGTGTGTGCAAACCTGGTCAAGACCTACAGGAAACGTATGATCTCTGTAATTGCAAACAAAGGTTTCTGTACCAAATATTAAGTTCTGCTTTTCTGATGTATCAAATACTTATGTCATGCAATAAAATGCAAATTAATTACTTAAAAATCATACAATGTGATTTTCTGGAATTTTTTGAAGTGTACCTATGATAAAAATTACAGACCTCTACATGCTTTGTAAGTAGGAAAACCTCCAAAATCGGCAGTGTATCAAATACTTGTTCTCCCCACTGTAAGTCTGTGCCGGAAAGACCTTAATTTGTCATCGTTTCCATATTTTCTCTGCACTTGAGTTTATAGTTATATTTTTACTTCAGGCTTGAAAGAGAAGTCTTAAACCGTATTCGGACAGGAGTAGTATTACTAAAATATCATGTAAGTATTACCCCAGCATGTGCGTTATTCCAGAGGACGATTCACACAGGATAAGTTATTCTAAATCTTAATATTTTTAATTCAATTGACTCATGACGGAAGCCTGAAGGTTTTTATTCTAGGCGTGAAGATTTTTTCAACATGCCTAGACAAATGTATAGCTGTCCCAATAATATTTAAATTGAGGAAGTGTAATCATAATATTATTTTAGCGATCTACGGTAGACATAGTTTTTTATTGCACATTTAATTAAACTGACACATTTGGTGACGTTCAAGTTCAATCCATTGGCACAAAGTGTATAAACAAAAATATTCACTGTGAAAGTTGAATGTAGGCCATTCATATGAAATATATGCGCTGCCCTTTGTTTTAAGCATCAAGTTTTCAAATCCGTTCTTGTTTTCTTGCTCAAACTGCGAGCAGAACCTGTCGAACTCTGTAATGTCTCAGACAACATAAGGATGACGGTAAGCACGGGACTAGTATTATCAGAGTACCTTAGAGTTTGTCAAAAAAACATTTTTGTGCTCTTGCACATAATTATATTATCCGACCTCCCCCAGTAAAACTTATCATGTCCAAATAGGGCTTTAATGAGTTTTATATAGTTTTATAAGTCTAATATAAAGTGCCTTCAGAAAGTATTCACACCCCTTGACTTTGTCCACATTCTGTTGTGTTACAGCCTGAATTTAAAATTGATTAAATTGAGATTTTGTGCCACAGATTTACACACAATACCCCACAATGTAAAAGTGGAATTTTGATTTTAGAAATGTTCACAAATTAATAAAAAATGAGTAAATAATTATTCAACCTCTTTGTTATGGCAAGCCTAAAGGAGTAAAAATGTGGTTAACAAGTCACATAAAAAGTTGCATGGACTCTCTCTGTGTGCAATAATAGTGGTTAACATGATTTTTTAATGATTACCCCATCTCTGTACCCCACATATACAATTATCTGTAATGTCCCTCAGTCAAGTAGTGAATTTCAAACACAGATTCAACTACAAAGACCAGGGAGGTTTTCCAATGCATCGCAAAGAAGGGCACCTATTGGTAAATGAAAGAAGAAAAAAAGCTGACACTAAATATCCCTTTGAGCATGGTGAAGTTATTAATTATGCTTTGGATGGTGTATGACCCAGTCACTACAAAGATACAGGAGTCCTTCCTAATTCAGTTGCCGGAGAGGAAGGAAACAGCTCAGGCATTTCACCATGAGGCCAATGGTGATTTTAAAACAGTTAGAGTTGAATGGCTGTGATAGGAGAAAACTGAGGATGGATCAACAACATTGTAGTTACTCCACAATACTAACCTAATTGACAGAGTGAAAAGAAGGAAGCCTGTACAGAATACAAATATTCCAAAACATGCATCCTGTTTGCAACAAGGCACTAACGTTATACTGCAAAAAAATGTGGCAAAGCAATTCACTTTATGTCCTGAATACGAAGTGTTATGTTTGGGGCAAATCCAATACAACACATCACTGAGTACCACGCTCCATATATTCAAGCATAGTGGTGGCTGCATCATGTTATTGGTATGTTTGTAATCATTAAGGACTGGGGAGTTTTTCGGGATAAAATATTTATGGAATGGAGCTATGCACAGACAAAATCCGAGAGGAAAACCTGGTTCAGTCTGCTTTCCACCAGACAGTGGGAGAAGAATTCACCTTTCAGCAGGACAATAACCTGAAACACAAGGCCAAATCTATACTGGAGTTGCTTACCAAGAAGATAGTGAATGTTCCTGAGTGGCCGAGTTATAATTTTGACTTAAATCTACTTGAACATATGGCAAGATCTGAAAATGTTTTTCTAACAATGATCAACAACCAATTTGACAGAGCTTAAAGAATTTTAAAAATAATAATGGGCAAATGTTGCACAATCCAGGTGTGGAAAGCTCTTAGAGACTTACCCAGAAAGACTCACAGCTGTAATCGCTGCCAGAGGTGCTTCTACAAAGTATTGACTCAGGGGTGTGAATACTTATGTAAATGAGATATTTCTGTATTTAATTTTCAATAATTTAGCTAACATTTCTAAAAACATGTTTTCACTTTGTCATTATTGGGGTTTTGTGTAGAAGTGTGGAAAAAAATTGATGTAATCCATTTTGTATTCAGGCTGTAACACAACACAATGTGGAATAAGTTAAGGGGTATGAATACTTTCTGAAGGCACTGTAATTCCACTTGCTTCTAAGAGCACTAAGATAAGTGGCCCACCAGTGTTGTAGTGGTGCCTGGAGAAGTGGATAGAATTGTGCAATACATTTCCCAAACAGCCCGCCCAGCAAAGGAAAAGCTCCCTGTGTGAAAAATTATATTAGAAACAGTGACATGTGCTCTGAATGACCTAAAATGACAAATACCATATTGGTCTTTGACAGTCAGGCCAACCCAAGCTGTACTGTGATGGTCTGGATATTGTTTTCACACTGACCTTTCTAGCATGGTTCAAGCCATTATGGTGGATGCAGATCCAGGCCCACTTATCTGGGCTTGGCTTGGCATGGCTCAGTGTCAGTTTAGTTGTGCAGTGTGTAAACCATCATTGTGTTCTTATGTTCTGTTCCTACAGTACCTCTCTTCACACTACAGAGCCAATCTGAACTAGGCTGGCCTGGTTAGCCATTCAACACAGTTGCTGGAAGCCTGCAACTGTGCTGAAATTGAAAATGTGAAAATAATAAATCAGAGCCAGCAGTGTAAAAAGCAGTTCAGTGACTGTACTACATAATATAGGCTAAAAAGCTTCACTCTACCCATTGTATAAAAAATAGATACAGCTGGATAGCAAGTTGGATAATGGGAGACGATCAAATGTTTTTGAATAGAATTACAGAACATACAATAGGCCTAATGCATGAATATTCCAAGATGCGCTCAAGAGCCAAACAATGGAGTTTCAGACAGATTAGGTAGTTTTAACACATTTTACTTCATATGCTATTCATCTTTGTCAACATTTAAACACCACAACCATTATGGTATTAAACATATATCATATTTACCAAAGAAATGTGTATATTTTTGGTCATTTAGAATTTAACAATACAGTACAGTACATCTCAGTATCTAGGCCTATGGTGTATCTATCAAAATACATTTTCAACAAACATCAAAGACACGAAAGAGAGAGATGAATAGAGAGAGGGGTTTCTGCGCGTCCACTTTGTCCCTCTAATTAGCATATCATGTCTGCAAAAGAAGTCAGTGTAGCGGCATCACCCTGCCTCAACAGCAGCACATCTCTTTACCTGCTCCAGGCGTGCCAAAAATGAGTCTGCGTGCTCTACCGTGTCCTAAGCTGCGGTGCACAATTGTCACGAGGAGCGCACTTCAAATGTTTGGTGTCAGCATGTGAGAAAGATAAAAAAACGTTGAGATATCTCAAGATATCCTTGTTACTTTTATGCACAGCCAAGGCGCCACCAAGCAAAAATCTTTGATTGAAGCAAAGTAATGTTCTGAATGACCAGCCAATCAGAGCCATTTCAGCCGCTGTTCACGTGCACATTATTACTTTGTTGGCCATTTTTTACATTGACATTTTAGTCATTTAGCAGACGCTCTTATCCAGAGTGACTTAGAGTTAGTGAGTGCATAATTTTTTTTAATGTAACGTTTGCAATTATTCAGTGATTGGATTAGCCAAATATTTTGTGTGCTTTGCATTTGTGTAGGCTACTTTGTGCATGATTTTTCTATTGTACTACATAATTGATACAGTGTATACCTCCACTAAACTACTTTGACACGCATCGGTGGGGATTAAGAAGTGAGTATACGCAATGCCTACTGAAAAAAAGTGGGTATAACGCGTATACCTGCGTATACCTTCCACTACACGACTGTGGCCCGTGTTGTGGACACTTCTAAAACTAATGCAACCTTGTCCCTCAACATAGATTACTACATCCTTGAGAACAACTCTTTACTGAAGGCAGCTTTGAAGATCAAGAGGATTGAAATGACGGACTTCAGAACAATCCAGATGGAACATTTTGGTAAGATGGATCATTTTCGCTATAAAAAATAAATAAATGTCAGTTTCTCTTTCTATTATTCTAAGGTTGTTGCTAATGGCTGCTTTCTCTGCTCAGATCTGCCTTTGAAGATCTCCTACCCACCAGACTTTTCTGAATCACGTCACTATGGCCTGCTTCTGGTAGTGTACGTATCTCCTTCAGTGTCTGTGCACACTGGTGTTTTTATTTATTTATTTATTTCATGTCTATTATGGTTGGTATGGACCCCATGGTGAGAGCCAGACTGTCTTTGTGATGCCCATATTAGGACCGCCTCAAGCACTGTATGCTTTTGTTGGTGTCAACACTGTTTCATTCTGTCATTTATATCTATAATTTCAGCGATGGCTCCCCCGGTGGCCAGGCTGTGAGCGACCGATTCATTCTGGACTGGGACTCGGTTCTGGTCAGCTCGGATAACGTCATCGTGGCTCGTCTAGACGGCAGAGGGAGTGGCTTCTTGGGCCAGAGGGTTCTACATGAGGTCCACCAGCGTTTGGGGACAGTAGAGGTGCAGGATCAAATCGCAGCTGTGGAGTATGTTCTAGTTTGATCCTTTGATCCCATCGAGTCTAATTTAGTCATTAGGCTTAGAATACATGCCAATTTAACTATCTGCTTACATTTTCTATTTAACTGAATTTGGCAAACAACTTTAAAAACTGTATTCATATTCCTGAATTCAATTCTATGATATCATGCTTTGTAACTTTGGCATCTCCTCAATATTATTTATTTCAGATACATGTTGACATTCCCGTACATTGATCGTACACGGATAGGAGTATTTGGGAGGGTAAGATTCTATTGACCGATTCTCTCACAGAGGCTCCAGCTTGCTTGTCTCAAGTTGACTTTAATGACTTTAGGAGACAAACATACTCAACACAAACAAACTTTCCCTTTCTTTGGTGGCTGTGCCCCAGGATTGAAAAGTTAACAGATAAAACTGTCATTTCTTTTTTGTGTACTTGTTTGTTTGATATTTTCCAGGGTTATGGTGCCTATATGATATTAATGATGCTCAAATCAACCGACAGCCTGTTCAAATGTTCTGTAGCAATGTCCCCAGTCACGGACTGGAGACTATATGGTGAGTAGAAGCTTGATTGTAAAATATTGGTTGGTATAAACCTTTATGACCTTTTATGATGACTTTTATGACAGTTTGAATGACTGCTTTAATATGTTTAATGTAAAGTGTTCTCAACAAGTTAGATGCAAGGCTTTAAAGACAGTCATCTATTATGATTTCATGTTCTTGTCACTTATGTGTATTAAGCAGCAAACAGTCTTCCTCATGTTATGAAATAGGCATCACAATATCTTGTGTGATATACCTGCATAGCATCAATTGGGTCTAACAGGGCTTTTGGCAATCCCAATCTTTTGACTGGTTCCAGAAATTACACTTCACATGGATAGATAGAGGGGTAGCAAAGGAGAGGTGACTGAAGGGTTGACATCTGAGTAGGGGATTCTCCTCACATGGGGCACCATTTATGTAGGTGATGGTCTTATTTGTAAGACATCCCTCAATAAGGAATTAGGATATTGGTCCCAGTATCATAAGATCTCACTGGCTACTTATGCACTTTGATGTCTTAAAGGGACATTTCTAAATTGTTTAACTTCATATTCATCATCTTGATCACCACCCCAACATCAACATATTTTGTAGTAAAAAAGATAGAGGAAGATAAGTGTTTCCAATGACATCATCAACCAATTAGTAAACAATCAGTAGGCAATTAGTAGGCAATCCTACTCATAATTGGTTAAAATCACAGGATGCACACCGATGATGTCATTGGAAACGGCTTATCTTCCCCTATCTTTTTTACTATAAAACATTGACACGCAAAATGTTCACATGTTGATGTTCTGGTGGTGCTGGAGATATTAAGTTGTGGTATGAATATGAAGTTGACATTTTTTGTAATTTCCCTAAAACAATTATTATTATAATTATCCAATGTGAAAGCATTTAGTTTGGATGCACAATGACAGAGATCACTTTTTGTGTAGTGTCGGCAAAAGTAACACTTAGCTCACCTGAAGTACTGAAACACTGTCTGTACCTGCCACCTTCTTAGAGTGTATCACTTTCTATTTGAACAGCATCAGCATTTTCCGAGAGGTACCTTGGCATGCCATTACGGGACGACAGCAGATATCAGGTGCGTTTGTTTACCGCTACCCTGCTCTTGTTTGACGTCGATCTTGTTTTGCTATTTGAAAGCGCCATGTCGTAGCATCACTGACATGCCTACAGTTAAGCCCCCACAGTTACAGAATGTTGCTACCATCAAAGTCAGAGGTACTGAGTTTTTTTCCCCTTTCCTTTTTATGACGCTTCCAGAGCGCAGATACTTTGTCACTCATCTCCACGGTAACTGTGGCGTATTGGCTCATTAGATCGCACTGCGTTCGTCTTTTGACGAGCTGCTGAAGGGGGTCGTCTGGCTTTCCCAGACTCCCCTGCGGTGTGGACCTGGTGCTGTGTTAAACAACTGGTTCAGTTACACTGATAAGAAAGACAGAACTGACAGGACTGCTGGACAAAATAAGTAAACTAACTTGGTATACAAACCAAAGGCAATGTTTACACAGGTGACATCAAAGGTTAAAATACAATATTATTGAAATGTGTAATGGAGTGATCCTTGAGACTGATCATTTTATGCCTGATATCAATTAATTGAATAACATTGCCTGTCAGATAAATCAAGCTGTTTATTCATATGACTGCAATTTGTACAGCAAACTAACTGAAATAAGCCATTATATCAGGCACAACACAAAACTGTCTCCAACCAATACAGATTGTACACATAACCCTCAATCTGACTTACATAAAACTCACATCCGTTAGGGACAAGATAATGTATCACAGTATCCATACCTTAGTAATAAAGTACCGTATGTACTATTGAAATATACACTGAGTGTACAAAACATTAAGAACACCTTCCTAATATCGAGTTGCACCCCCCGCTTTTGCCCTCAGAACAGCCTCAGTTCATCGGGGCATGGAGTCCAGTTTAAGTCTGGACTGACACCAGAACACTCAGGAACACTCAACACCTCTTGGAAAGCCATTCTGGTGTGTCTTTGGCATTATACATTTTTTTGTCATTGTCCCGCTCTATCCCAGGGTTTTCAAAAGAATGAGGTAGGTTTTCCTCTAACTTCTTACCTGGGCTTTGCTCTTTGACCCAGTCCCTGTCGGTGACAAGCATACCCATAACATGATGCTGCCGACACAATACTTGAAAATTTCACTCTGTGTTATGTTATGTTGTATTGGATTTGACCCAAACCTGCTGTTTTTAATTTAGGCCAAAAAGTTTATTTCTTTGCTGTGTTGTCTTGCAGTATTACTTAACAGGCTTGTTGCAAACATAATGGATAATTTGAAGTGGATTTTTTAAACACAGGCTTTCTTCTTTTCACTTTGTAATACAGGCCAATGATATGGAGTGAATGCACTGTATTCTGTATTATGTTTGTATGCTTGTCACCGGCAGGGACTGGGTAGTTTGTGAGGATTAAAATAAAAATGAAAGGAGAAAAGCCCAGGTACAAAGTTAAAGAAAAACCTGCCGTAGTCTTTTGAAAACCCTGGGAAGTTTAATTTTTCAGTGGAACAATTACCCCCATTTTAATGCCAAAGACACACCAGAGTGGCTTTCTAAGAGGTGTCGAGTGTCCCTGAATGGTCCAGTCTGTGTACAAATCATTAAGAACTGCTCTTTCCATGACATAGACTGACCAGGTGAATCCAGGTGAAAGCTAAAATCCCTTCTTGATGTCACTTGTTAAATCCACTTCAATCAGTATAGATGAATGGGAGAAAACAGGTTAAATAAGGATTTTGAAGCCTTGAGACAATTGAGACATGGATTGTTTATGTGTGTCATTCAGAGGGTGAATGGGCAAGACAAAATATTTAAGTACCTTTGAACGGGGTATGGTAATAGGTGCCAGGCGCACTGGTTTGAGTGTGTCAAGAACTGCAACGCTGCTGGGTTTTCACTCTCAACCGTTTCCCGTGTGTATCAAGAATGGTCCAAAGGTCATCCAGCCAACTTGACACAACAGTGGAAGCATTGGAGTCGACATTGACCAGCATCCCTGTGGAATGCTTTTGACACCTTGCAGAGTCCATGCCGTGACAAATTGAGGCTGTTCTGAGGGCTAAAGGGGGGTGGAACTCAATATCAGGAATGTGTTCTTAATTTTTACAAAAACAATGAATATATGTTGCCCTTAGAGTTGTGCAAGTTTGGTAGAATCTTATTCAAAATTATTCACAACTGTAATAGCTGCCAACGGTGCTTCTACCAAGTATTATCTCTGGGGTGTGAAGACACAATCAATACATGTTCTTCTTTTTATATTTTTTACTTTGAAAACAGAATCGAATCGAATCCCTTTTTAGATGTAATTTTAAGGCAGCAGAGTGTGACGACTGTGCAAGGGTTGTGTAGACTTTCCCTAGCCACTAGGAATGCCTCTTGACCTTCCCTTTCTAACAATATGCCAGCAAACTCTATCTAATACTCTTAACACTTCTATGGCTGGCTCTGTTGCAGTTCTCCAGTGTGTTACAGAATGTCCAGCCACTGAGGGAACAGACTCTGATGCTTGTCCACGGCACAGCAGACGGTGAGTGACTAACTATGTGAAACCAAGAAAAAGACATCAGCAATGAACTGGGGTCAGTTATGTAGCTGTTGTGTTGTTCTTTACTATGTAGGACAAATCTGCATTGTGCTTCTTGCCAGAAGGCACTTAAAACAACAATAATCTAACAATTACACAAACTGCCACAACTGAAGAACCTTTAACACAAATGACAGTTTTTATGAAATATAAGTTATTGAAAGAATCGGTCAATTTCCATTGTACAGAGAATGGATTTGCCACAAGAAATCACAGTGTCACAAATGTTTTAAGTTAGATCATGGTATTTTCATCTCCACCCTGTAATGTTTTCTGTCATAATGTGATCTTGCTGTGCTTCCCGTGACGATTCAAGCAGAATTCTGCTGACACATTTTATTCTGCCTTTTTCAGCCAATGTCCACTTTCAGCATACTGCTGAGCTCATCAAGAACCTTGTGAAAGTTGGAGCAAACTACACAATGCAGGTTTGGATAAAGTCATTGCCCACTATACTATAGGATACAGGTTCTGTAAAGTGTGCCGGTACACTAGATTAATTAAGCCATAAGCCTACCCAAGTGTACTAGCAGTAACAAAACTATGTAGTACCCTACCCATGCTATGTATGTACGGTATGTTTCTGTAGTGTGTGTAGTACCATAAACATACAGTACCACCAGCTACTGCATATAGGGAAGGGCACTCAACTTCTACTGCACTGACTCAGATGACTGATGATTGGCTAAAATAAATGGATAATAAGATGATCGTTGGAGCTGTATTGTTTGTATTCAGTGCAGCCTTTGATGTTATTGATGATAATTTGTTATTGAAAAAACTCACTTGTTATGGCTTTACATCACCTGCCATTACATAGCTGGAGAGTTACTTATCCAATAGAACCCAGAGAGTGTTCTTCAATGGAAGCTTCTCGAACATCAGATAAGGACAGTGCGGTATCCCTCAGGCCAGTTGCCTTGGGCTGTTACTCTTCCCTATTTTTACCAATTATTTGATGGCTATGTATGCTAAAATGACTATGTATGCTGATGATTGCACATTCTACACATCAGCACCTACAGCCAGTGAACTCACTGAAACTCTTAGGAAGGTGTTGCAGTCAGTGTCAGAATGAGTAATTAACAATACACTGGCCTGAAATACATCTAAAACCAAAAGCATTGTATTTGGTTCAAAGCATTTTCTTAGACCTAAACCTCAACTGGAGTTGTGCATAAAAGGTGTAACCATTGAACAAGTTGAAGAAGCTGAACTCCTAGGAGTAACATTGGATGGTCAGTTATCACGGTCAAGTCATATTGACAAAGTTGTTGTGAAGATGGGGAGAGGTATATCTGTTCTAAAAAGATGTTCTGCATTTTTGACACAAAGATCAACTGTACTAGTTGTTCAGGCGCTGGTCTTGTCCCATCTTGATTACTGCCCGGTAATATGGCCTGGTGCAGCCAAGAAAGACCTAGCAAAGCTGCAACTGGCTCAAAACAAAGCAGCACGCCTTGCCTTAACTGCACACCCAGAACTAACATCAACAACATGCATGATAGTCTTTCATGGTTGAGGGTTGAGGTGAAATTGACTACTTCTCTTCTAGTCTTTTTAAGAAACATTTGTGTGTTGAAAATGCCTAACCACTTGTATAATCTATTTGCATACACTTCAAACAGACAGGCATACCCCACCAGACATGCCACTATGGGTTTCTTCACTGTACCCAAACCAAAAACAGATTTAATGCGCCGCTCAGTTATCTATAGAGCCATGTCATCATGGAATGCTCTGCCACCAGAGGTTCCTCATGCAAAAAGCAAGTTTAACTTAAAAAACTAAGAGATAAAAAACATTTCGTATCACAGCGCCTCTCCTCTTTCTAAAGATCTAATTTAACTGTACTGTATATAAGAATATGAATATGTACAGTATATATGAATAGTGTGTAAATAGTTATTTTGTTGTCTCTTGGTGTCTCTCCAATATGTAACTCTTATTTTTATTTTATTTAGAATTTAATATGTTGTTCTTATCTATAACTGTTCTGTACTTTGTCATGTATTGGTACGTTTTATGTGGACCCCAGGAAGAGTAGCTGCTGCATGTGCAGTAGCAAATGGCAATCCTAATAAGCTACACTAAACTGTGATGAGAAGAGAGTAATTACACACATCCATAAAGTAGTAGTTTAAAGAAATATGAGTATACTGTCTTTTCACTAATGCCGCTGTGCACATGTTGTGGTCAGGGTGTGCTCATTGTTGTGTTCATGTTTTACTCATGTTGTGGTGTTCTAGATCTATCCAGATGAGGGTCATTTCCTGTCCCAGCGGAGTAGGCAGCACCTTTTCGCCTCGCTCACCAGCTTCTACAGGGATTGTCTCAAGGAAGAGATCCTACCGCTGCCCGATGATGATGAGGAGGAGGAAGAGTAGGAGTAGGATGTGGTGAAGACCTTCGGCAAGACTTTGGCAGGACTTCCTCTCTGTAAAAAATTGCTGAAGCCTGCACGAAAGGCTGGTGGCTTTTTGACCAAGTGTTAAGACAGAGGTGGACAGTGAGAGTTGCGGCGCGTGTGTGTGCAAATTATATAGTTTGTGTTAGTTTGAGAGAGAGAGTTTGATAGTTGTTTGTGCGTGTGTCTGCGTATGTATGTTTGTGTGTGCATGTGTTTGCAGTCAGAGAACTCCCAAGGACACCTGTCAAAGACAATGGACACCGGCATTGTCAAGACTACAAGCGGGAACTCTCACTTATCTAAAATGCCACTTCAATCTCCACCTTTGAGACTATCCCTCTCTCGGCAAAGCACATAACATACTGCCTCCATCTCCGGCAGGAGCCATTAGGGTTGCAACATCCACACTTACAAGTGCATGGTTCTTTTCCCCTTTCAGCTTAACTAGTTTTGCCATGTTAGTTTTCATTGTGGTAGCCATTGGGAAGAGACAAACACATATGATGTACCCTTTTAAACGTCACCCACTCTTTTTGTTTGCTTTGATGCACAAGGAAATGCTCCACTGCTCTTCAGAGACATACTGTAGGCAATGCAAGTTCAACTTGACTATGACGTCATCCACAAGTAAGTGCTATTCCTGCTGAATGCTCTCATCTTCAACCCCCACTGAAAATAAGTCCTTTGGGGCACACTTAATTGTACAAGGGTCTCATGTAGACATGTCCAATGCCTTATGAGGTGCTACATAAGACCGTAAGACCACTTAATGGCATTCATAGCCATTAATTATTATCACACTAACCGGTGTCAGCTTAGTTCTTTGAGACGCAACATGCCAGTGCAGTCTCAGAGACAGTTAATATCAGTTGTAATGTCAGGTCATAAACCAGTTATAATTCCAGTGAGTAGTGAGTGGTCACAAAGGCCATAAAATGACATTGTGTAGGGCTAAGTAAGGTGTTTGCATGTCTACAGGGGGACGCCTAAAGTGTTGCCGTATTTTGTACAGTACAATACAGCAGAGTGTGTACATACATATATTTTTTAGATATGTCAGATCTTGTGGATAGGTTAGTCTATGGGAATGGAATGATTTGACATGAATGTCTTGTACATTTTTCAGTTTATTTTGGTTTTGGTAGATTTTGGATTTTGTAATGCTTGTTCATGTTAATTTTGTTGTTTTTGAAGGAAGGGAGGGATGAGGGTTTTGGGTTATTGTGATTGTCCTCTAGTGATGATTGTAAATAAAAAAAACACTGAAAAACTAATATATTACCATTAGGTATTTAGCACAAATTACATCCAACCACAGTGTTGTTAGTATTGATTGACAAAATGACGAATGATCCAGTCAATTATATTGTATTTCATCGGTTCGTTTACCTTGGACTCACCTTTGTGCCTAGATAAGTTGAGTTGGTCATGGTCTGAAGACAAATTCAATGAGGGCCTTGAGGCAGATGGTTTATCAGTGTTGTGTTTAAAATACTAAATGCTGCTCCCAGGGAGTGAGGACACACTCAACCCAAGAACTGTTAGTTGGATCTACACCAGGAGTGGGCAGCTCTGGTCCTAGAGAGCAACAAATTGCAGGCTTTTGTTCCAACCCAGCTCTAACATATGTAAACCAGTCGTGGTATGCGAGAGAGATATGTTGATACCTCTTTGCAGAACAGCATCCAACATAATCTCAGAGTGTATTACGTGCAGTGTATTACGTGAAGCAGCACATGCAGTGATTAACAGTGCTTTGTGGTGTCTGATTAACATATTTTGTGTAATGTTGTGGCACTTTATGGTAGTTTGCAGTACTTTTCAGTTGATTACTTGATGTTTTGCCTAAGAATGGTGTTTCTCTACTGTACAGTTTCTTACCAACAAACAAATTGGGAATCAAGGTAGCTAGAGTACAGATATAATAGATTTATTCTAGTGTACATTATTTAGACAAATATACAAATACAATTCACTAAGGACATTTACTGTATGGTGAATGGGACCGTTTGTGTGTAATTCATTTGAGGCAAGCATTAATATACATGATCAACACTTCAGTAAAGCTGCACCATATGATGGATAGAATGGTAGACAATTGTTTCAGGGATATATTGACCATAAGTTGTGTTTTGTATAGGAGTCATGAACTTAGGCCTGGATTCAATCTGAAGCCTGGATATAGCGTGCTGACATTTAAAGGACGACCGCCAGGGCCAGCACCAAAACGAATGAGTTGGACAGGCATTTGATTTCCAAAGGCGGGCACGTTTTTTTCACAGGACCTCCTATATACATTTATTAATGGGTTTTATAGTAAAGACATGAAAATTAACAGTAAAAATGTATTACCTTTTAATGTGGCATGAACACAAAAGGTTATGATGTTTTCATCTGATTGTCAAACAAATCCCTTAATAGGCTGCGCATGAGTTTCAAATTTGGGGAAGCCTACAATTAATCTTACCATTTCTACCGATCTGCGTGCCAGTTATGATTTTCATATGCACATTTTTGTGGAAGTTTTATTTCAATAATAATAATTTTGTTTCTCAAAATCATTGTGAGTTGGTTAGTCATAAAAATCGGAATTAAAATGATGAAATTCTAAAAGATAAAATTCAACTAATGCGAGAGCACCAGCCTCTGCCATATGAACACATTGATACACCGGGAACCATTGGCGGCTAAAGAAATGACCATATGCATGGAGCTCAATGATAGCCTATAGGCCAATGCAGCAGTAGGCCTATAACTTCCATTGTTAACTAAGTAAAAATACATAAAGCCGACAAATAGAAAGAGTCAAAAATATCCTGATGAAAATGCAGTTTCTTTTAATTGCATTCATCTCTCTACTCCGCCTGTCTACATCCCTTTCTAACAGTCTTGACTTGAACTATCGAAGTGCAACATTGTATCAAATCACTCAACTGGGACCAGCTGAAGCTGTTGCTAGCGAACTTGCGACAATGTATCAACTAAACTATTCCGGGCCCTTAGTTTCCCACACCAGTGAGCTTGGGACAGAGCTGTTTTTGGGAAAAGTCTTCAGGTATTTTAGGACGTTTCCACTGGATATATGCAATCATCAGATCATTATATTTTGCTCTTGCACACCGAGGCTTGTTGATTATCGAGGGGGGAAGAGTGTTCGAAAGATTTTTCAAGTACTGTGAGTATTGAGGAACTATTATAATTCGCAATGGATGTAAAAAAAATTATGACTTTGACGGACTTACTGTGTGAGGAGAGGAAAAAATGTATTAGTGGTGAGTTAAGACAATCCGAAATCAGACATCTCCAAATGGGCACTTTCGCGCACTCCCTCAACATTAGGAGGACAGAGAAACCAGACACATGCTCATTGCTCACATGAAGCAATCCAAACAAAAGCCAATGAAAATTGACAAAACTCTTAAATGATGGTGTAGCAGGTTGCAGGTTGTCAACTCTGCAAACAACGTTTCCACTCCGAGAATGAGAATGGTGAATGACTGTAACTAATACATGCATTAACATAAATTAATGTAACCAAATGACAGGGATTAAAGTTACATTTACTACTGGTGACATATCCAGTACCAGTCAAAAGTTAGGACACCTACTCATTCAAGGATTTTTCTTTATTTTTTACTATTTTCTACATTGTAGAATAATAGTGAAGACATCAAAACTATGAAATAACACATATTGAATCATGTAGTAACAAAAAGTGTTAAACAATATATATTCGATTTTAGATTCTTCAAAATATCCACCCTTTGTCTTGACGACAGCTTTGCACACTCTTGGCATTCTCTCAACCAGCTTCACCTGGAATGCTTTTCCAACAGTCTTGAAGGAGTTCCCACATGCTGAGCACTTGTTGGCTGCTTTTCTCATTGCGAGCTCACAGAACAGAGCAGAGCTCCGGGCAGCTGAGCGGAAATGGAAGAAAACTAGACTCCCTGCAGACCTGGCATCTTTTCACTCCCTCCTCTCTACATTTTCTTCATCTGTTTCTGCTGCTAAGGCCACTTTCTACCACTCTAAATTCCAAGCATCCGCCTCTAACCCTAGGAAGCTCTTTGCCAAATTCTCCTCCCTGCTGAATCCCCCCCCTTCCCCCTCCTCCCTCTCTGTGGATGACTTCGTCAACCATTTTGAAAAGAAGGTTGACGACATCCGATCCTCGTTTGTTAAGTCAAATGACACTACTGGTCCTGCTCACACTGCCCTACCCTATGCTTTGACTTCTTTCTCCCCTCTCTCTCCAGATAAAATCTTGCGACTTGTGACGGCAGGCCGCCCAACAACCTGCCCGCTTGACCCTATCCCCTCCTCTCTTCTCCAGACCATCTCCGGTGACCTTCTCCCTTACCTCACCTCGCTGATCAACTCATCCTTGACCGCTGGCTATGTCCCTTCCGTCTTCAAGAGAGAGAGAGTTGCACCCCTTCTCAAAAAACCAACACTCGATCCCTCTGATGTCAACAACTACAGACCAGTATCCCTTCTTTCTTTTCTCTCCAAAACGATTGAGCGTGCCGTCTTTAGCCAACTCTCTTGCTATCTCTCTCAGAATGACCTTCTTGATCCAAACCAGTCAGGTTTCAAGACTGGTCATTCAACTGAGACTGCTCTTCTCTGTGTCACAGAGGCTCTCCACACTGCTAAAGCTAACTCTCTCTCCTCTGCTCTTGTCCTTCTAGACCTGTCTGCTGCCTTTGATACTGTGAACCATCAGATCCTCCTCTCCACCCTCTCCGAGCTGGGCATCTCCGGCGCGGCTCACTCTTGGATTGCGTCCTACCTGACCGGTCGCTCCTAACAAGTGGCGTGGCGAGAAGCTGTCTCCGCACCACGTGCTCTCACCACTGGTGTCCCCCAGGGATCAGTTCTAGGCCCTCTCCTATTCTCGCTATACACCAAGTCACTTGGCTCTGTGATATCCTCACATGGCCTCTCCTATCATTGCTACGCTGACGACACACA